TATAATAATAATAAATTATGATTTATATAGCGCTAATATTCCCATGGCTCAACGGCGCTTTACAAAAAGATCTGATAAAACATATCAAAATATAACTATATAGGTATTTAGTGTGGTTTAGCGGTGTACATTAAAATCTTTAAACAATCATTACAAATAACTTTATAAATACATACATATTTGACTAGTAGACATTTTTTTTACATAAAATTATGAATCAATGRTTGAAATAACTTTCAACATTAATTGGCTATTATTCATAATAATAATCATTGTTAAAGTTTGTCGAAAAGTAAAATCATAGATATCTGGTTTTAACCCTTTGCTTGAAGTGTGATATTGAAACAGGATCTAATGTTCTGTGGTAGATTATTCCAAAGTTCAGGAGCCGCATTAGAGAAGGCTCTTCTACCATACTGTTTCAGGTTGTAAGATTGACTTACTAAAAGATTTTGAGACATTGATCGTAAGGAACGTAATGGAACATAAGGAACCAACAAGTTACATAAGTAGGAAGGAGTCTGATTATGTAAGACCTTGAAGTGAGTAGTAGAACAAGGGCGGCGGAACCGGGAGGGGGCCGGGCAGCACGTGCCCCCCCACCAAATGTATTCACCAAAAGTATTGGTTCTTAGTCATTGTTTTACGGCGCATGCGTTTGCATCCAAACAAAACATTGTCCTTATCACATAGCGTTAAATATAATCTTCAGATTTTCAGCTTCCGCCGCCCCTGTAGAATCTTAAAGGCAATAGCGAGATGGGAGTAATATGATCTTGTTTTCTTGAAAAGGTAATAAGTCGAACAGCTGCGTTTTGTACATGTTGCAATTTTTGGAGAGAAGTATTGAGAAGTATTTTTTTGGGGACCATAAAGTAAAGAATTAAAGAAGTTAAGTTTCGAAGATACGAGGGCATGGAGAAGAGTTTTACATGTATTAACACTCAAGTCATTTCTAATTTTCCAAATATTATGAATATGAAAAAAGCAGGTCTTACATACAGAAAGTATCTGATCTTCCAATTACAGTCTTATCAAAGATGATACCAATGTTACGAGCAGATGTAGATCGAGTAATAGTAGAGTTCGAAATTTCAAGAGATACAATGGGTGGTAGAGGACGATGGTTTGACAAAACAAGAATTTCAGTTTTGTCCTTATCAAGCCTGTGTATAAATTTGGATGGAGCTTTGGGCAGAACAAAAGTTATGACGCCGCTTGTAAATTCGATCCAAAATTTGAAGCATATGAAACATCGCGCTGCAGAAACATTACCATTGAATGGATTGCCTTGAAGTTTTCACATACCTATTTCCAAGTATTGCGGATGAGCCTTACGAAAAATCGGCATCAAATCTTAAAAACTCATTGAATAAATGCTTTTTTACTAATTGTCGTTGTAAACCTCAAATATTAGGGTTTTGCTAAAAATCACATTTTCGCCTTTTTTTTCTAAACGGCTCCAAGTTTTTTCTTTAAACTTCCTACATCAATGGACCAGAGCTTTATCTATGTGGTAGTGAAATTTCTACCGCTCGTCTTATCCAAATTTTGGAGAAAACGTGAGGTTTTTTTTCTGCCCAAGACTTTCCATCCAAATTTATACACAGGCTGCAATAGTACTAGATGATAAGATTCTGAAAACTTCAGAAAAATCGTACATGGGGATGAGGAGAAAAAAGCCAAAAACTAAAAATAGCACTGTTTGATTTTCGGCCGTAATTGGCTAAACATTTAAAAAATCTTAAAATAGAATACACTGTTAGAATCTAGGATAATCCAAGCACATTATGAAAAATGCAGTTAAATTGACGCAATAGTTTTGCGAAGGGAGCGAGAATAAAATTGTCCAAAATTCGCTCTGAATTAGTTTGGTTCCACCTTAAGTTTCAACTTGTTGCAAGTCATCCATCTATCAATTTCTGAAACACAGGTTTCAATTTGCTGTTTCGCTGTATTGAGCTCAATTGAGCAAGATGTAGAAAATGCGAAATAGATTTGTGTGTCGTCACCATATAGATGAAAGTTGATGTTGCACTTCCGCATAATATCACCAATTGGTGCAGTGTATAAGAGAAATGATATGGGTCCCAGAATAGACCATGTGGGACACCGCATTCCAGAGGTTTAAGAGAAGATGAGAAGCCATTTACTTTTACTCGAAATCATTCATCACTAAGGTAGGATTTAAACCACTAAAGAGATTTTCCAATTACGGCATATCTAGATGAGAGCCTCTCAAGAAGAATGCTATGATCAACGGTATCGAAAGCAGSTGAAAKCCGGATCAAGTAATACCAAAATGACTGCAGATTGTYGGTCAATAGCTTGAAGAATGTCATTATGAACTCTCAAAAGTGCTGTTTCAACACTTTGGAATTTCTTGTAAGCTGATTGAAATTTTTCATAAAGATGATTTTGAAAGTGCTCTACTAGTTGAGTGGCAACCACCTTTTCTACGACTTTAGAGAGAAATTTCAAGTTGGATATTGGTCTGAAGCTGGAAAATTCATCTGGAGGCATCTGATGTTTTTTAAGAACTGGTCTTACTTATGCTTCCTTTAAATGACTAAATGGCATTGTTGCGGTGCTTAAAAATAGGCTGACAATCTTTGTAATGGATGGAAAGAGTAATTCGATACTACCTTTGAGAATAACCCCAGGGAGAGGATCTAGATCACAGGATTTGCTGAGAAGTGGAAATATCAGCTTAGACAGATCATCGCATGAAATAGCAGAGAATGAATTCAGATGTCTATGCACTAGTAAAGGTAGATGGTTGTCTACGTAGGTAGAATGTAGAACAAAATCATCTTGAGTAGCATTTATTTTACCAGAAAAAAGTCAGCAAAAGAGTTAGCAAGATGTTTAGCAGTAGGAACGGCAGGAAAAGATTGCTCAGGATTTCTGTGTAGTCATTTGTCAAAAGTAGAAAACAAAACTTTCTGATTGGACTTATTTTCATTAATGATGCCGGAAAAATATTTATTCTTGGATTTCTGAATAAGACGCTTTACAACCCAACGGTGCTCAACATATAGATCACGATCAATTGTTAGACGTGAACTTTGCCAGGTTCTCTCAAGTTTACGGCGTTTAATCTTTTCAGATTTTATCACTACCGTGTACCAAGGGGCTGATGGCCTCATTGTTATAATACGCTCTTTGAGAGGAGCATGCGAGTCGAGGATTGACAACAGTTCAGAGTGATATTGTAAATTAAGGCTGTTGATATCATCTGCTGGTGAGGTTACTAAACAGGACCGAGCAATATCTCTATTAGATGTGTCAATATCAATTTACTTGATCTTACGGCATTTTGAAACAATTCTTTCAAAAGGTGGATTTTTAGTAAGCAGTTCACAAGACACAGCAGAATGGTCTGATATAGCAGGATCAGAGATGATAAGGTCGAGTATGTGTTTCTGTTTGCATGTAGGTTGTTTAACATGCTGGCACAAATTGAAAAGATTCAAAATGTTAAGAAATTCAAGAGCATGATAGTTAGTTGGATCTTCAATATGAAAATTGAAATCACCCACAAGAAGAAATGAGGCAGAATTGATAGAAAACTGTTCCAGAAACTGAGACAACTCGTCGAAAAACATTGGAATGGAAAAGACATCAAGAGCTAAATTTCTAAGCAGCCCGTGGCTGATAATTTACTGTTTTCTCTCACGAGGGAGATAAATCAATTGAAATTATAAACTTWATTTGTTTTATTCCAATTATAGAGTACAAACACTAAAAGTGTGCAACACTTTGCACTATTTAGTAGTAAATAGTGCTAATTAAACAATAGACTAGACGCATATCTGCGTGAATCGGGCTTCATAGCAAAAAATCGAAAGAATTCTTCGTCAACATTGTCATCCTTTTAGATGGCGCAGCGGTTCTTAAGCCGTGTCKGCGCAAAGTCTGTTAGACTTTCGGAAAGGTATTTGTCCTTGTAAATCACGCTTGCTAAAAATGTTGAGGGAAGGCAATCACGATTTTTTACCAGACAATACTTCAAGCAGCACACATGTCGACCTTGGGCATGACTTCTCCCATACACATCTCTTGCATGAGAATCAAATATTTTGAACCCACATTACAATTACCATTATAATAGATAGCAACTGCRGTACTCCCTAATTGTTAACACAAAATTAGTGTAGTTTTCAGCCATAAGTGATTCAAAGGCTCTTTGCAAAGAAGTACAGTACTGATATCCTTATGTGGCAGCCTCTTGATGTAAAGTACCAGTGTAGCTTTCACTGTATTGAAGTTCATAGTCAGTGTCAAACACATTTAGCACTGGTGGTAGTTCTGACTGCATTAAAAAGGACTGTCTGGCTAATTGAGATAAACTTGAATACAACTAATTTCCAATATCCATAATTAACATAAGGTCATTGATAGAATTAATTCCTTGCTTGTTATTGTAAATCAAAGAGCACAAACTCATTGCAACACACCGTTGTCCAGAATTTTGTCCAAATACTAGTTCATTACCTTGGCTATATGGTACTTTTATTGTTTTGCTAGGGTCAATGTACATTGGAGCAGAACCAGGTTTCTTCTCTATGTCTGTACTCAGTTTAAATTTACAATAATTTGACATATGGGTCTTAGTTTTGTAGAGACACATCAAACTATTACAAGTAAACAATGATAATTACCGACTAGCTCTATATTTCGACTTCATTATCCCTTTATAAACCCGACTAGAGCAATTAAACAAAAGCTTTTTTCATTCTGTGTGACTTTATTTAAGCTTATTCTCTTAGTATTCAGCTTACATTCATTTTTTAGTTTTTTAGTTTGCGTATCACGTGACGGAAATTATTGTCTACGCATGCTTTATTTGTTTACCGCCGTTATTCAAGACAGCCAAGCTACAAATATATAGATTATTTCACGGGGAAAGCGCGTGTTCAGTATTTTCGCACGATTTGGTGACGAATCGGAAATCGAACGAGTAAGATTTGATACAAATCAACGAGTGCGAAAATGTCGTACAAATGCACTCCCCGCGAAGTTACTTGTTTATTTCATACATGCTGAGATTGTCTAGTTGCTCTTATTCCAAATATTCAATTCAAATCTCATCTCTAACAAGTTGAACGTCTTTCCACGTCATAACTTGTCGATGCTCTTTACATCCTCTCAAACCAAAGTGGATCTAGTATAAAAAGATATAACTAGCTAAAAACTAGTGTGAGCTGCGTCGGCGTTTCTAATGAAACAGTAATGATGAAAATGTAAATTATACACCGTGAAAAGATGAAAAAACTTACTGACGTTTCGGACGCTAGTCCTTCGTTGAAGTAAAAGACGAAGGACTAGCGTCCGAAACGTCAGTAAGTTTTTTCATCTTTTCACGGTGTATAATTTACATTTTCATCATTACTGGATCTAGTATAGTAAGGGATATAGGTACTACGGAACAATGCGAGTTGATTAAAATGCCACCGAATTTGGTTGAATTACTGAACATTTTAGCTCACAACCAAGACTAAGGCTGAGCAATAAGAACTCGAAACTGGAGTATTCGTTAGAATGTCCTCTTTTTTAACACGGCTCCCGACCAATCAAAACGCGAGAAAACTTACATTGGTGGCATAAAAAAGAGAAAATGCACCTTTATCCCTTCCAATTCATTTGTTCATGTTTATTTTTTTAATTTCTCAGGCTTTAAGAAGAAATCATCCATGCGGAATACAATCTCATACAGAGATAGAGACTGCAAGCAATCTTTCAGCTGAGGCTTCAGCGCTTATACGAGAGGTATTCAGTTGACATGTATTGTATTCCTCTATAGCCCCTTCTGCTGTATTATAATTTACYAGCATGTTATTATATCTATCATTCTACCAAGATTAATGAAATATGGAAGTTTTTGTATATA